AAGGCTGGGTCACAGTTTAAAGGAGATGCCAGCTCTGTGAAGGCAAATGGCTGTATTTTTTGAAGTCTGAGCTTATTTAAGAATTTTGAATGACCGTCTGATTGCCAGAGTTATGCATACATTGTATTTTATTCTTGTCCAGGTTTCAGCCGGCTAAGCACTTTGGTTATGAGTTGTGTGTCAAGGCCAAACACTGCTTTTTGAAACCGAGAGTCAAGTAGCGATTTAAACTCCTGACTCTGTACCTGTCTGTAAAACTCAGATAAATGAAATGGAAATATAACAGGGATGCTGTGTTATGGAATATTGACTTTGCTTCTCCTTGTAGAGAAAGAAACCTGTAAGGGATAACCATTTTAGCATATATAAATATATTAAAAAATATATACATAAAACACTTTTTTTCTTTTTAGTCTGTAATTCACTTTCTTGATTTGCCCATTTGTGATTTCCTGTTACAAATTAGGCTTGTTTGAAACCACTGGCCCCTTGAAGAGGGACTTTTGGCAGTTTTGATAATGCAACCTAGTCCTTGAAAATGCTTCAGCCTGGCTGGGCCGACTTCCTGTCTGTTTCTGCAGCTGGTCCTCCTCTCCACTTCCCCACGTTCCTCCTCCCCCGGGCCCAGCCCTGGGGCGGCAGCCTGGTACGGGCTCTTCTCTCCCTGATTACGGTCCCTACTCCTTTCCCTGTGGAGACACCCTTCTGGACCACTTGCATTCTCCTCCTCAGTCTCTGGCTGGGGAGGGTACAGGGCCCTCCCTCCCCTGACAACATAGGGGAGCTGGTGTCTGTGAAGACACAGGCTGGCTGCCCAGGGCCCTCACTGGGTTTCGGGTATAGGTCGACTCTAAAGCCTTGCTAATAACAAAGCTTGCACGCCCGCAGTGCCGTGCTACCAAAACCACTTCTCCTGTCCACCAGAATCCAAATTTGAGAACTGACGTATGGCTTGCTCTGAATTAATCAATGGTAAAACTAGGCAGAGTATAAACCTCTCAAGAACATGGATCACATCTGTTATTCGGATTCTATATACCAGTGCTCGTTGGCGCCTGTACTTAATAATTGGTATTCATACTTAATAATTGTTCTTATAAGTATTTATTCATTGTAGAAAATTAAGGTAAAAAACAATGTAAAAAAGAAAGAAAAAGCCTTCATAGTCCTACTGCCCTGAAAAAACATCCCCGTCGCTTTTTTGGCATATACCTTTCTGCCATTTCCCATATACATGGGCATGTGCAGACGTGATTTATGTAAGACACTGTTTTGGAAGTTTGTCCTTTTTTTCAGTTAATACTTTCCAAGGCATTAAGTAGTCTCCTGGAACATCTTTTAAATGAAGTGGCTGCAGAACATTCTTTTATATGAATGAATGAAAGTGTGATATAGGCAGCCCTTTGCAGTTGGACATTTACGTTGTTTTTGATGTTTCTGCCACTGTGGATACAGCGTTAAGATGAGCTACTGTATCATGAGTCTTGAACATTCCCTAGATAAATTCCCTACAGCAGAAATACTGGGTCAGGCTTTTTTTTTTTTTTTTAAGCTTTTGACCCATAATACTGTTTACTTTTGTTTCTCTCTAGACACTACAACAACAGGAGTGCAAACTTCTCTACAGCCGAAAAGAGGGTCAGAGGCAAGAAAATAAAAACAAAAATAGATATAAAAACATCCTGCCCTGTAAGTATCACTGTATTTCTCAGAAATAGTCACTCTTGGAGATTTTGATTCCCAGCATCTCTGTAACTTTTCTGGGGGCCGTGTGCCTTCTCAGCAGATCCGAGAGCTTAGCTTCTTTTAATGGTGAGTGGTTTCCAAAATAACTGTGGTGGGGTTGAATGGCCTCGTTCACCGAGTTCCTGTGATGCTGATATGGATAAAATTGCCACTAGGAGGCTGGAGCATGGCTGTTTCCTCTTCTGTTAGTGAGCTTTGTCTGCCTCAGAGAGATAATCTCAAGGCTTGCCATCTCCCAGGGTCAGGCCCCACCAGGAGCCTCAGGGGACCCAGGCTTATGTCCTGGCTCTGCAGTCCCCGGCCCATGGGTCTTTGGGAGGGCTCACCTCCTTTCTGGGACTCCCCCTCATCTGGGGAGCAGACAAGCTCCTCCTGATGATTCTTCCAACTGTTCTTCCCCTCATCCCTGGAGCTCGAGTCCTGCAGTTCGGGTACACACCTATGGTTTGCTCAGAAGAGGACCTTGTGATATGCACAAAGCAGTGCCTCCTTGAACACTCAGATGCTGCCAGGCAGAGTCTAAGCTGAACCAAGGGGAAAAGGAGGCCCAGAAAGATGTAGGCCTTGGACCAGGAGCCCAGAAATGGCATGAGGCAGTTGTCATGGCTCACCTCTCCTGAGGGCTGACTCTGCCAGACCCTGCGTCCACATCTCACTTAATCCATGTCGCTTGCATGCAGAGCAGGTGTTCTAACTGTTCTCGCCTTATAGACCATTTTAGCAAGGTTGCACGTGGGAGTGCATGGGGGAACTGGTACCAGAGCCCCCAAAGTCACTGCTTTTAGCCCCACACTCTAATGCTCTAATTTGTATGCTTTATCCAAAAAAAAAGGAAAGAAAAGAAAAATTTAAACCTGATAATGGCAAGGCATGCGTAATGCATTTACCCAATTTAAAAATAAGTCTTGTTTATATCTATGATTGTGGGTATGTGTATATATTTTGGCGTTCAAAAACTGTGTAAGTTTATTGGGGAGCATGACAAATTAGCAAGCATTGCCCTAATGTCTCATCAGGTCAGAACCATTTTGTCAAATATTGTAATGTCAGATATTATAAACCCAAACCATGTACATGTGTGTTTGTGTACATGTGTGTGTAGTACAGTCTTTCTCTTTCTGTATATGTGTGCACATACACGGTGTATATGTATGTCACATCCATATAGATATTTGTAATGTGTGCAGGTGAGGAAGGGAGGACATGGAGGCATTGATAATCCTGAGAAAAGACAAGAAGGAATTTGCAGAGAATCAGTCTGAGCCACAGCATCGTCTTAATGACCTTGAGGAGGCATCATCCTCTATATCTGAAGTTTTCATTTCTGCTCAAGAGGTCTAAATGGTACTCATTAGTAAGATGTAGGAAGTATCTAAATGGAGTATTATTGCCCTCTCTTCCCTTAAAGATCCCAATCAGATGTTTCTTCTGATTAGCCTCTTATTTCTTTAAAAATGGGGATCATGGAGCAAAAGAACATTATTCTGTTAAGACATACAGCTGTATCACTAACTCCCAGTGTCAAGTATGTTGCCTAGTAGAACACGCAGATTTTTATACCATGTCCTTCTATACAGAATTTGTTGGCAGATACTGTCATCAGAGTCTTGTCTAGATACTATATTTAATTCTACTTCATTAAAGAAAAAAGCTTTTTATTATGGAAAGTTTAAAATATATTCAAAAATAGGCAGAATAGTTTAAAAAAACAAATAAACAAACAAATAGAACCGACACGTACCCGTCACCCAGCTCCAACAGTTGTCAACTCATGCCCCGTCTTGATTCATCTGTATTCTGACGTACTTCTCTCCCTAAAATATTTTGAAGCAAATCTCAGATATCATGTCATTTTATCTGTACTTTACTCTTCCTTTTGTTTTATAGTGAAACCTTTTGTTTTGAAATAATTTTAGACTCACAAGAAATTACAAAAATAGGTAGACGGTTCCCACGTACCCTTTAACCCAGCTTCTCACAGTGATAGTGTCTTGTATATCCATCATACGTTATCAAAACCAAGGAACTGACGTTGCTACTTTATTCTCCTTAAAGGAAGGAAAAGCATTATGAGGCATCCAGTGGTGTTCAGATTATTGTTGTACTCAGTTTTAACATCGTTTTATCATTAAATGAACAGAACTTGGACTGGGTTGAGGGTGAACTGATTTGAACTGATTTGTCCTGAAGAGGTCCGAGTGCCTTTGTGATTGTGGTCTCTTTTTCTCCCAGTTGACCATACCAGGGTTGTCCTACACGACGGTGATCCCAATGAGCCTGTTTCAGATTACATCAACGCAAATATTATCATGGTAAACTTTGTTTTTCATGGTATTTCCTGACTAGCCAAATTTTTGTATTTTAAATCCTACCTTGTGGCCTGAAAGCAACTGTCAAAAATTTGAAGGATTTTCTTCCTAAATTTCTAGCCTGAATTTGAAACCAAGTGCAACAACTCAAAGCCCAAAAAGAGTTACATCGCCACGCAAGGCTGCCTGCAAAACACAGTGAATGACTTTTGGCGGATGGTGTTTCAAGAGAACTCCCGAGTGATTGTCATGACAACGAAAGAAGTGGAAAGAGGAAAGGTATCCTACATACTCTTCTGATAAAATATTTTTAAAGTATCAGACGTGTGAGGTTGACCACATTAAGAATTGAATAAACAAGTTTCGCTCCCTCTAACTGACCCTCTGGACAAAAAGGAGGAGAAATTTGATTCTGACATACTTTGGCATAGTTTTCTTTGTGTTTCTTCTGCACAGGGTTCATGGAGCTTCTTAGGTGTGTGGATCTATAGTTTTCTTCAAATTTGAATAATGTTTACTATTTCTTCAAATTCGTACCCCACCCCACCCTGTTCCAGGACACCAGTTACACGTATATTAGGCTGTTGGAAGTTGTCCTCCTTCGTGGTTTTTTTTTTTCAGCTCACTTTTTTCCTTCTGTGTTTCATTTTGGATGAGTTTCTTTTGCTATTCATCTTTCAGTTAATCTTTTCTTCTGTAGTGTATCATCTGCCAATAGTCCCATCCAGTGCAATTTTCATAGCAGACATTGTCCTTTTCATTTCTACAAGTTTTGAGTCTTTTTAATATCGCCTGTGTCTCTGTTCTTAACATGTACATCAGTTACTATACCTTTTGAACATACGGGATATGTTCATAGGAGCTTTTTCAATGTCTTTGTTACTAACCTTGTTTCCAGTTCTCCAGTTGTGTAAGGGTAAATCCAGCCCCTGTTACTTCATTGTGTCCTGGAGCAGAGGTTATAAAGGGAATGTAAGAAGGCCTGTCTGGTACGTTCAAGAGACTAGAGGGCTAATTAATAAACATTGATTTCACTGCTCATGTGAGCTATACTTATGACTTTTAAACATTTAAAAAATTATTTTGAATTATGCAAACAATATATTCAGACAGACATTCAAACACATTACAGTTAAGGTTAAAATTACCTTTGTCATCATCCCTTGTCCACCCAATTTGGTCCTTCCTCCAGTGTAAACCCTGTTACCAGTTTGATTCTGTATTCCTGTATACTGTCTTCTTGGCATTTGCTTACGTATATGTATTATAGGCATTACTACCTAATATGCACCTATAGAAATATATAGTACTATTTTCTGAAAAGTACTGTATAAAAAAGTGTTGTCATACAGTAACCTTATTGTGCATCTTGGGTTCTCCTCCCCTCCTTCCGCCCGCCAACTATATATATGTTCTAACTCCTTCTGTTAGTACATATTGGCCTGCCTCATTCTTTTTAGTATTCATGTGATATTCCATGGTATGAGTGTGTCATAATTTATTTAAACATCATTTATTGGGCATTTAAATGTTTCAATCTTTGCTTTTACAAATAGTGCTGAGGTGAACAGTCTTGTTCTTGCTTTTATGTGTACATGTCAAGTGTTTCTGAGGTTAGATGTCAAAGAGAATTGCTAGGTCATGGAATTGCCAGGTGTGCATGTTGTAAGCGTTAATGCATTCTGCCAAACTGACCTCCAGTGTGGTTGTCCCAGGGCACACCCCCTCAAGCAGCGTGTGCCAAGTACCCATCTCCCTACACTCTTCATGACACTTCAGCGTTTTGACAATGATAACATTCCATACCTACAGAGAAGCAGACAAATCTTGCTGAGTGACAGCTCTGTGTTATCCCAAAGTGAGCCCATCCATGTGGATTTTTTAACATGGAAAAGTTCTCTGTTTTTATCTGTGTTCTAGTTAAAATTCTTTTTTAGATACACTTTAATTGGTTTATATAAAAGTTGCATGAAATGTAGCAGTCATACCCCATAAAAAGACAGGTGGGTGATTTTGGATTTTAGTCCTGATGTAATTTTCGTATCAGTTGTGAAGGGCAGTGTAATTTTGTAAGACTTTTGTTGTTGTACTGCTGGTTGTTACAATTCTGAATACCTCTGAGGCCAGATCTGGTCATTGTGAAACAAAGGCTTCCTCCAGTGGCTGCCTGCAGTAACGTTAGATGTTCTTGAATTAATGGACAACTTAAAACGTCTTCATGGTTTCTGCTTTGGGTGAGGGTCCACCTGCCCTAAGGACGGAAGGGAAAACCAAGCCTCTGTCCTGCCTGTTGCCTGGTTGCAGATGTAGGAGGCCACCTGTTCTCGGAGGACTTGGGGGCTGTGAAGAGAGGGTTCTTGGGTCACTTCAGAGGGATCAGGATTGGTCTCTGTCAGAAGAGCTGCCAGAAGCTCCTAGGACAGACAGACACTGGGCCGGGTCCCTCTGCCCCGCTCCTTCCCTCCACCCCTGGCCTGTGCCTGATTCCCTGTTCCCCCCCTGCTGCTGGAGAGGAGGGCACCATGGGCTTTCCGTTCTCCACACAGGCCTTTTCTGATAACCTCCTCCGTTGGTACCCCCAGTGCACAGAAGAAAAACCAGCCTCTGGATTCCCTTTGATTCCTGGACTTTAATTTAAAAGCTAAAGTTTCGGTGCTCACATTTTAGAATTTGTTTGCCAAGGTTTACATCAGAATTTGGGAAACTGGGAGGAGGGCCGCAGTAGCTTGCAGACGTGTGAGTCAGCTACAGTGCTAGGACTTGTGATTTAACTTGTGTTCTCTTGAGCAACTGGCAGTCCTCAGAATTGATCGGCTTGTGACAACATTGCATACACTTAATAGTAAAAGTGTTTATTTGGAGATAATAAAGATTTTATCAAATCTGTCAAAGAGGTATTTAGATCTATAAAATACTGGAGGGGAAGCTGAATTCAGAATAATAAATAAAAGACCACATAAACCATGCCAAGCAAAAAAGTAGCACTGTCCATTAATTCTTCTGTTGAGCGTTGCTCCTACTATGTTTTTTTCTTTCAATTATTCATTGATTGTGGGGATGCCTGCAGCTGCTCTCATATTTCTCATTTCATAATGGTGAATTTCTCTGTCCTCCTAATGTACAAGGTACATTGCTCTTGCTGGTGGCTGTGCAGTGAGTGTTGTGGGTGACTGCTCCCAGGGAAAAACAAGACACAAATTCATTCTCTGCCCAGGATGCATCACCAGATATGTGCAGACTCATCTCTCACTGAACGACATAGCTTCCTCTTCGGCAGCGAGAATGATTCTCTTGGTGCCGTATTTCCAGTCTGCCTGCTCTGAAGCCAGCAGCTATTGCAGGCCTGGTGTTCTCAGGCACCCAGTTAAGTGCAGGTGGCATGTGTAGCAGGTATCAAATGGATCTGGATATAGAAAAAGCAGCTGGTTCAAAACCCCATCGGCTGCCTTTCTGTGCTGGAGTTAACTCACACTTGGGTTAGGTAAGGCATGGAGGCCTCCTACACTGGTGTGGAAGGGAACCAGGTGGTCTGGCTCACTGGGCGGCCCATCCGCCTCCAGAGTCCCTGCTTGCCGTCCCTGCAGAGTGATTGGCAGATCTCCGGAATTCAAAACTCAGTGGTCTCTAAACAGCACCCTCAGCCTGGGTAGCCCCCCTCTCTCTGCCTGTTTGGATCCTTAGAGGGAAATAAATGAGCACTGACTCTCTGCTGACCTGTGGCTTAGATCAGACAACTCTACAAAGGCGGCCGTCTCTTCCCACTGCTCCCTGGTTCTCCACGCACCTGCTTTTCTTATTTGAATTCTCCTTTCCTTTCCTTTGAAAACCAACAGTTAGATACCAGACAGGGCATCTTCCGTGCTAGTGGTCATTAAGCAAGACTTGAACACTGGTTATCTGCTGGTTTAGGCTTTCACGTCAGAGTTCACAGAGATTAACTCTCTTTTCTCTGATCCCTTCCAGAGTAAATGTGTCAAATACTGGCCTGACGAGTACGCTCTGAAAGAATACGGGGTCATGCGTGTCAGGAACGTCAAAGAAAGTGCCGCTCACGATTATACATTGAGAGAACTTAAACTTTCAAAGGTTGGACAAGTAAGTATATTGTCGTACTTTAGAGACTTTGATAACTGCGTCTGGTGTGCACCATTCCAGGGTGGTGCGGTTACTCCTGTTTTTATGCATCCACGTGCCCGTCCACTCACCGATCCACCATCTGTTTAGTGGGCGCCTCCTAGGTACCCGATACAGTCGAGTTACTACTGGAACATCGCAAACAAGACCGGCACAGTCCCTGGTCTCCCAGAGCCTAGGGAGGCGGAAAGTTAGGAAGCAGATAACCAACTAAGCGTTCCAGTTGTGCTCAGTCTGTGAAAGCCCCGGGATGGTGTGTTAGAGACTGAGGAGGCGTAAAGAGGGGGGCCTCTCTGAGGGAGTGCCACATAAACTGAGACTCAAAGGTGGAGGAGCATCCAGAGAGTCAGAGAGGAGTGTTCTACGCCAAGGGAACAGCAAGTGCAAAGGCCCTGAGGCTTATTAGTGATCAAATTCCATGGCATCAGGTCTTAACTGCATGCAGTTCAGGTTTGTCCCTGGAGTGACTGACTTTACAAAGTAGCTTTAGATTTGGATTCATTTTAATTTCATGGTTAGAGGGGCTGACTTAATCAAGATCCTTTGGGAACACATAGGTGAATAAAACAGCTTTTGTCCTCAAGGAATTACAGTCCTGCAGCCGTGAGAAGCCGTGTATACACACTCCTGAGCTCTAGAGCAGACGCCGGCTGTCACACGTCTCAGGTGCTGTGGTTCTGCCGAGGCTGGGCTTCCTTCCAGCTGGGGCATCAGGGAGAGCATCTCAGAAGAGGCTGGGCCGTTAAGGGTGAGGTTTATGTAGAAGAAGACAGTGTGTGGAGGGCCTCCCGGATGGAGGTGTCATTGTGACCAGGGTTCTGAAGTGCCAACAGCAGGGAAATAGGATTTATAGGGAATGAAGGCAAGTGGGGAATTGAGGGAGTAGGGGTGAGTGAGGTTGGGACCAAGTCAGGAGGGGTCTTAACTCTCATGTGAAGAAATGTAAATTTTGCTCATTAGTTGGTATGGGACCTGTGAGGTACAGGACACGTGCGGAGGCGGGTGTCAGGAAGGGGTCCGGCAGCCCCGGGGGAGGATTGGGATGGAAGGTGTCCAGCAGCCGGAGGCCTGTTAACAGGAGGCCTGCACAGGGGTCTGGGTCTGATGGCCTCCTATCCACGTTTTGCTTCCTTTTCCCTCCTTTGGAAATGAATATTACATAAAGATGCCAGCATAAACTCTGAAAGAGAAGTGATGGATGTGATAAGCCTGTGGAGGGTGCAGTGGTGAAGTCTGCAGAGTGTGCAGGGTAGCTTGGCTGGAGGAGGAGGAGGATTCAGACATCTTAGGGTTTAGAATCTGAGTGGACAGTGGCACTGTGGCAGAGGTCTGAACAGCTGGAGGAAGAGGTTCAAGATGGTAGGGTGATGCCAGGGGCGATGGGAAGAGGAACATCAGCTGAGGAAACTGGAGGTAAATGGGAAGGGACTTGATGTGGGAACGAGGGGGCAGGGTGGCATTAAAGCTTGAGAAGTGGGGTGGGTGGCAGCAGATTTGAGGAGAGGGGTAGACTGTAGCATGACCTCCTGGACGCAGAAAGTTTGAGATGCCTTTGAGGCATCAAAGCGAGATGCCAGGGAGGCAGGGGTGGGGGTCGGACGAGGAGGGCAGATGGGAGTGCTGTGTGCCCAGTAGAGGTGGTGAACGTAGACACAGCGATACCAGTCACCTCATGTGAGTTTGTGCCAAGAATACTGTTCCTTGGGTGCAAAACAGAGAAAGTGGGTAGTTGGATTCATCCAGGCTTGGGGCTTTGCCGAGGGTTTGGGGTGGGAAGGATACAGAGGATGGAGAGCGGGTGGAGGGAGTGGAGGTCTGTGATGGAGAGTGACTGTCAGGATAGGGCGTGGGGTCCGAGCTGGGTGAGGGGGCAGCAAGGGCAGGAGGAGGCAGGCGGAGAGTGGAGGAGGGGCTCAGTGGTCTGGTGAGTTCCATGAGGTGGTCCAGGGACTGGAGTGAGCTGGAAATCTCGGGGCTTGTGGTCTCGGGTGATGTGGGAGCTTCTGATGTCAGCGGGGGTGCAATTCTACTGCCAACGGGGAGTGGGTGGAGGTTCAGTCGACTGCAGAGACAGGGAGAATAGCTGGAGAAGTGTCACTGTCAAGCAGAAATGAGAGAGGTTTAGAGAACATTGGCAAAGATGCCAGATAGGTTTTTCTTCAGTTTTAGTGATAAACTGTCCATCTTCTTGTTATCAGAGATTTTTGAGTAGCAGGTACAGGAAATGCTGGCGTTTGGGTTTGTATTTTGCACCCCTGGATGCGGGCGCTGACATAGGACAGATCATTTCTCCGGCATTGCTGGTCACAGATTACCTGCTTTTTGTGTAGCACCTTCCGTTTTTCCTAAAGTGCTGTCACGTGATCTCACTTAAGCCTCTTAATCGCCTGGGAGGAAGGAGTTGGGGCAGGGATCTCAGTGGCCATTTATGAAGGAGGAGGAGCGAGGATGCTCAGGGCAGCTGGGTCTCTCTCATTCCTTGTCCTTTCTGTGACTCTTGTAGCCCCCTGATTTTTAGTGTGCTGGTAACATCCAGAGCAATCTTTTCATGACTCAGCAAATTAAATGCACATGATTTAAGAAAAGATTCATTGTAGTTGTAGTTCAGATTCCTTGGATGTTCTGAAGGTCGCTGGTGATGGACGCTGCTGTGGACAGTCTCTCCCCTTAGCTTGGATTGTGTCCAGGTGTAGAGGAAGAAGGTGTGGTGATGAATGGCACTGTCACAGTGACCTGATCTGGGCAGACCCGGAACACGATGCGTTTGGTTTTCTGTAGTCTCGGTGCCCTTGTTACCTTTATGAATGATCACTGCTCAGAGGAGAGTGCCAGTGTGCTGAGTCCCTTACTGTCTGCTGCGCAGTGGCCTTGTGTAACCCTCACAGCGGTATTGTGACAGAGATTCTCATGCCCGCCTGCAGACTTCCTAATTGAGGCTTAGGGATGTCCAGGGGCCACAATGAATGTGAGTGCTGGGATATGGGCCTAAATCCTGCCATCTGATTGCACAGCCCGTCTTCTTATCCGCTTTGCACCAAACAGAAGCTTAAATACCATGAGATTATAATAGAAAAGTGTGTTGGGGGAGAGGAGGAGGGCCAGGTATAAAAAGATAAAGAGGAGCAAGTATCTTGAGGGAAAACTCGTTTTCCCATCTGGTGGGAGGAGAGCTCGAGTCCAGAGGCCCTGGTTGCCTGGTGAGTTGAGCTGCCCCTGGACAAGGGGGAGCAGGGACGTTGCCTGCTGTCATGGTGCAGGGGATGACTCAGGTTGTAGCTTCCTGAAGGACAAGTCACTGTCCTAGACATCTTGGTTCTTCTGGCAGAGGCAACAGGTTGCCTCCAGGGCCACTCAGCTGGACCCAAAAGGAGGGGAGAGGTGGGACACTGGGGAGGAGGACCTGTGACAGAGTGGGAGGAGACCTTGTGCCTGCCCACTCCCCTGGCTCATGTAGGACGTGGGGAAGATGGGAACTGAGTGCTTCCTCAACCCCTTGATTTATTTAATTCTTTTCTGGTTTTTCTTGGCTCTACTCCAGGGGAATACGGAGAGAACGGTCTGGCAGTACCACTTTCGGACCTGGCCGGACCACGGAGTGCCCAGCGACCCCGGGGGCGTGCTGGACTTCCTGGAGGAGGTCCACCATAAGCAGGAGAGCATCATGGACGCAGGGCCGGTGGTGGTTCACTGCAGGTGACCAGCCCCTCCTGCCTCTGGGCCACAGCCCGTCCTGTCTCCTGACGCCCAGGGCCTGCCCACCCCCGACTCTTATATGTGGGGAAAATTTAACCTATGTTTGAGGCATAGATAAACTGTATTAAGGGACACTTTGACCCCAAAGTATATTTCTCCTAGATCTTACAGGACTGCCGGGTACTGGGGCGGTGGGACAGAGGGTGGGGAGCATTGTCCTTGCTCTCAAGGAGCCGTTAGTCTGGTAATGTTTGCTTGGTTTTCTTTTTTAATATAGTAACATAGGAGTCATCTCTTTGATAGTGGTTCTCTTTTTCTGTGGAAATAAGATCTATTTTTTCCCCTGACAATGTGCTCGTTTGCTTCAGAAGATTTGGACTGCTGCCACCCAGGCTTCTAGAAGCCATGCCCGTGGCCTTCTCACCAGAGTTTGCAGGCTGCTGGTGCCCAAGTTTGGGCTTTGTGATTATGCTGGGGTGGAGGGTGGTTTCCTAAATCTTATTCATATGTTGGGTAAGTAGATGTGTGTGAAAGTTTATTTGTTCAGTTGTTTAGAAGCTCCCATTTATTGAGTGCTTGCTCTGTGCCCGCCTCTGAGCTCAGTGTTTTTCATACATTACTCATATTTGATCTTCACAGCAACCCATTTCACAGATGAGGAAACTGAGGGTCAGAGAGGTTAAAGGACTTGCTTCAGGCATATTGTGCTGGGGAAGCTGGCCTCCAAGTGCAGGATGGACTGAGTCCAAGGCCCTGTGTTCTTTACTAATATATTTGCAAATATAGACAATGTTATAAACACTCCCAAGAGCAGACATTGTTTTTGTTAATATTAATAGCTTGTTTTGAGTATAAAACCCTCGTGAATGACTCTGTTGTCCTTGCTTCCTGTCCTTCTGCCCACAGTGCTGGAATTGGCCGGACGGGGACGTTCATTGTGATTGATATTCTTATTGACATCATCAGGGAGAAAGGTGGGTCATCCAGAGGGCAAGAAGCTACAGTTCTTGTTTTTAGTTTATAGAAGAAAAGTGCTGGTGAAAATAGCCTGTGGAAGAGAATTGATGGTTAAAATATTTCACAAAAATCTAGGCTGAAGACTTTACCTTTCAGTATGTTTGCTGGAGAGCAGAAGTGATGCTGTTTGAGCTTTTGGCGTGGATCCCACTGCTGTGGTCTTCTGTTGAACAGACAGTGGGGGTCTCTAGCCAGCCATCTAATTGTTGCTGATGGTTTGGGGTGGTGCTGTGGCAAAGTGGGGGCACTGTCACCTCCAGCACTTTATTGTGTAATCTCCCAGGGTGATTGCTATTGGACAGGAGGCTGGTGCTGTAGCCCTTGGAACGGGTTCCATTAAACATTAAAGACTAACTTTGCTTTGTCTCTGAATCTGCTAAAATTTGTGCGTTAAACTGCTTCACCTTGGCTCCGTGGTTCTTCCTGATGCTTCGTGGTGCTTGCTTTGTAGGCGTCGACTGTGACATTGACGTTCCCAAAACCATTCAGATGGTGCGGTCTCAGAGGTCAGGGATGGTCCAGACGGAAGCGCAGTACCGGTTCATCTATATGGCCGTCCAGCATTATATTGAAACACTACAGCGCAGGATCGAAGAAGAGCAGGTACCAGGCGGGAGGCTGGCGTGCGGCTTTTCCTTGTTTTCTGGGCAGCTTGGATGTGCTCTCCGTTTGATAGCTAACTGTCTTCTTTTGAGAGTGAGGAACAAGTCCCCAACCAGGAAGGGCCTCTCTGAAAAGGAATTATTCCCAGTGCCACAACTCTGATTTTTCAGTATGGAGTAGCTCAGGGAGGGGCACCCAGCCTGACAGATCGGGGAACGGCCACATAGAAAGGCTAGGGTTTCCCCAGGCTCACATGGCAAGCTTAGAACTCAGAGCCTCGAAGTTTCCAGCCTGTTCCAGTTTTGATCCAGGCCTTCTTCATCCTGATTCCATCTCTTAAATGAATGCCTCACTCTTAATAGCGCACAGGAGTTTGAACCGCCAATTTGGTCAAATTGGAGACAGTGAAATTTCAGCTTGAACTTGTCTGATGTATTCTCTCGATTAGACTCAGGCCAGGCATTTTTGATAGGACTGTCTCCGAAGTGATGCTGTGTCATTCCCGGTCCATCTCGTCAGGAGATGAGATGGTTTATTTCACTCCTGGTGGTGCTAATTTTGATCACTTGATTAAGACGTTCTCTCTCAGATTTCTCCACCATCAAGTTACTGTTTTCCCCTTTTTAACTAATATCTTGTAGGTAGACACTTGAGACTATATAAATAAACATTTTTTCATCATACTTTTTGCCTACCAATTTTACATTCATTCACGATTCTGGCCTGGAAAAATTACCCACTGTGACATTTGCCCGGTGGCAATTTTCTGTTTCCGTCATTCCCTTTTCATTTATTAGTTGCAAGACTACTATAAGGAAGAGCCTTCCCTTCTCCCTTATTTATTTCTTTATTCATTTACTCATTTATGTCAGAATGGGTTCTAATCCATTAATATTATGTATTTCATTGCTTAAACTGTCCCAAGTTTGCCTAGTAGGAGCCTCTTCAAGTTGGTTCCTGTGTTTTTTTGATATGTTCCCATTTTTTAATTATTTTCTTACTTGTTTTGACAACACAAGATGATCTTGGTTCATCTTGTATTTTCCCAGACACTTTATAAAGGAGCCCTGATTCTTTTTATTGAAGAGTATTATTTTGAAGCCGAGATCTGGGTACTAAGTGTGCTTGTTTGTACTGGTGTGATATTCTTTGAATTGCCTATTAGCTAATTAATTTTTGTTCTTGTGCAGCTCTCTGTATAATGTCCTGTATATATAATATATGTATATAAAGTTATATATCACTTACATATTTCTATATGTCATTTATATATAATTTATATACATACTTTATATAAATATGTTATATATAATATGTAAGTATATAATTTTATATATAATTTATTATATGTATAATTTTTTAAAAGAAACTTTTAATTTTGAAATAAGTTCTAGATTCACAAAAAATATAGTATATAGAGTTCCTGTATATTCCTTCTTCCAGTTTTCCCTAAGATTAGCATCTTATTGAAGAGTGGTATTTAACATCCAAATTCTGGGTGTTAGGTATGCTCCTTGCTACTGGGTATTACGGTCTAGGTCCTTTCAGGTGGGGCCTTGGGATGGAGCTAGGAAATAATGTCTGTATTATAATCCATATATACACACAAATCTGTAATTATTTCTCTACGTGTGTATATATATTAAGTTAAACCTGAGTTCATACTGATGTCTCTGACTCTAATTCAGTACTGTGCGGCTCATTCTAGCCTTTCCCTCACTTGTTTATAACTTCTCTAGCTGGGAGAAACCTGGCCCCCTTGATCTGCAATTTATTTGCTCAATTGTTCAACCCTAGTATGCATGTAAAGTAGTTTGAGAATTGCTAACCTGTTACCCCTGTGGAATGGCAGCTCTTCTTTGAAGAAAGTAATTCCACATCCCATAGGGAACGTCCTTTAGGCTGTAGTGTACAGAGACTTGGGCTGGAGTCTCTCTGAGTGAACTGTACTGTCGGACAGAAGTTACCTTAAAAAATTCTGTAATCATTGTGCGGTACACTAGAAATTGACACAACATTGTAAACTGACTATAACTCAATTAAAAAAAAAATTCTGTAATCACAACTGAGCTGGGATAGAAACGTAGTAACGCAGGCTGAATTTAAGTTGTTGCCAGCAAGGCTTAAATTGGCCTGGTATAGCCATTACCTTTCAGCTTTCTGTATTTTATTAAACATTTGGGTACCTTTTGTGTTCCAGATGCTGTTAGATACTGAAGATAGAATAGAATAAGATAGATACGGCTGTTGCCTTGTGGAGCTTGTTTCACCGGACGGAAAGTTTTCCTTAGCATGAGCCCATGCCGCCATCTGTCCTGGCTGCTTTGTTTCCCTAGCCGTGCGGTTCTTCACATATCTTCCTTAACCTCCTTGGTCCAATGAAAAGGTGTTTCCACATTTGTTTATTCACTCCTCATTAATTAAAGTAGGTTGTACTATGTGCCAGGCACTATGCTAGGTCCTGGGAATATAAGCAGTCATGTTCCTGAAATGGAAATAACTCTGTAAGACTGGAGTAGAGGAAGTTAGAGGGAGAGTGTGGGGTCAATGTTGGAGGAGGTTAGAAAAGTCAACAGACGCCAGATTTTGAGGGGGTGGGTTTACAGGCCATGTTACGGATTTAAAACTTTATCCCAAGGAAAATAGGAAATCATTGAGGATTTTGAAGCAGGGAAGTGACATAAAAAGATCCTCACTTTAAAAAAAGGGCCCTGGCTTAAGTGGGAAGAATGGGTGGGCACCAGGCTTGCGCAGCTGCGGGGCGACCAGTGTCGGTGAGAACTGTTGCTGGTTTGGAAGGGTAACCAGGGGCCGACAGTGGGTATGGGGAGTGAAGAACCAGTAAGATTCTGTGATCAGATGTAGATGGAGTCAGGGTGTGAGTGATCCCGACGCTTGAGCCCAGAGCACCCTGGACGTGTTGTTTTGTCGCTCTGCAACCCAGACAAGAGCATTTTCATTTTACTCTCTCTTCCTACCCTTGGCTTTGGGGCTTTTTTGTAATTTAAGGTTTAAGAATGTAAGTGGTGACTTCACATGGAAACATCTTTAATAGCAGATGATTTTAGAGCCTCATGGTTGGTCCCTCCTCTCAACTTTGGCTGTGTGTCAGTTGGAAAGGCCATAAGATTTATTATAAACATTGCAAGAGACTTGGTAACCATGGTATGTCATTGAATTTGGGTGAAGGATAGGTCAATTTCAGATCTTTTTTAGACCTCTGAAATAAATTTTCCTCCACCCTCCCCCTAAAAGAAAACAAAATGAAACCAATCTGTCCCTACTCCCTGAGAATTTTTCTTGATCTACAAGATAGCCTGGGCTGTCACGGTTCCAAGAAACAAACACATCTGATTTGTGAATTAGGGTTATTTCTTGTTTTTCAAAATAAGCTAAAAAGCTCAAGCATTTTTATACTTTTCCTTGAGCTGCTTTGATTTATTGAAATAATTCCTGTTCCATTTGTATTAATTACTCCTCACTGGAAAATTCTTTTATCATTACTTCATGTAGAAACATTGATTTTGATTTTCAAGAAAGTGTGTAGTAGGGAGGGAGAAATGGGGAGTTGGAGCTTCAGTCATGCAAGATGAAAAAGTTCTAGAAACCCGTGCAACGATAGTTGTTAACAATATTGTACCATATACTTAAAAATTTTTGTTACAAGGATATGTCTCATTACTGTTTTTAACCACATTAAAAAAAAAGTGTTGAGTAGAAAGCAACTATGCTTCAGTTTGTGTATTTAAATATTTTATTAAAAATCAGTTAAGATTTTCAAACTTTAGAGTTAGTTTTTAAATAAGTAATGTTCTTTGCCAATTCTTCCATTTAATATTTAATTATAAACTGTATCTTTAAAAAAGTTATTTCTTATGTAAGTCAGTATTTCAGTGCTAAGGTCTGTGGCTTCTATTTAGAGGTGATTATTCAAAAGACCTTTAGATCTTTAAAACCAGTTTTTCATAAAATTATAATATTATATAGACTAAACAAAACATTTTCTCTTTGGACTTCTTTCTTGCAGCTTTTTCTCCTAGATACTAATTTCTGTAATGACTGCTTTATTATTTAATAAATTGTTTTGGCTGTTTGAACAGAGGCTAAATAATGGTGCCTTAATCAAGATAGGAGCTTATTTCTCTTCTATATAAAAGTTCGAATTAGCAGGTGATTGGAGGGGTCGGGTTATAGGTCAGGGACTTAGGGTCATCTAGGAACCCAGGTACATTGTCTTGTCACTCCACTTACTGTCCTTTAGGGCATTTCTTTTTCTACGTGGTCGCAGGTGGCAGAAGAGAGTGGAGGACAAGCAGCTAATTTTGCACCAAAGCGATGGTACCAGTTTACCCTCTCACCAGCAGTGAATGAAAATCAGTATTTGATACAGATATCCTTTCTAATGTTTGCTTTTCTTGAATCCTGTAATGAAGGCAGCATTATTTAATGATGATAACGTAATGAACTCGATTTTCGGAATTGTGGATAAAAATTGGTGGATTTAGGAGTAAAGAATGGTAAATCATCTAACCAGAAGTCCTACCTGATCCAGTTCGTCCCAAGTGTGAGAAGAGATTACATCCTACTGGTTTTCTTTGCCTTTTTTCCATCCCCACCGAGTTTAATGAGGCTGAAAATAAAGTTTGAAAGGTGTTAGGGTTTTTCTGGTGTGGGGGTGGAATGTGGGGTCAAGATATAAGGTGTATTATTCTGATAAGAATGCTACCCTCTTTTCCACCTGTGTGCCATTTTTACTTGGAGTGCATTTATTTCTGGAACTCTTTTCCCACTTGTTTACTTGAAAATCATTAAATGTGTTGCAAGTGAACTATGAAGTGATTAGATGCTAATGTGGCAAAGAAAGTGTGAATTCTCTCTTAGCTCAGAAACTGGTACATTTCATTTAATACAACAAGTTGTTAAAGCATGACTCCCTCTGCTTTTGAATTGTATGGGTCAAAAGTACTTTTTACCTGTATGATGTATTTACATGGAGGAGGTGAATCCCTGACATTTGGTCAACGTATCAGTGTTCACGGTCCAGCTTGTTTGTCGGTCTGTCTGTCTGTCTCTCTCGGTGAAATGCCTGTTTTACTTTTTATTCCTTCAACAAAGTCATGATTCTTCATCCATGCAATCTTCACCTTTCAGAAAAGCAAGAGGAAAGGGCACGAATACACAAATATTAAGTATTCCCTAACGGACCAGGCAAGTGGAGATCAGAGTCCCCTCCCACCTTGTACCCCAACGCCATCCTGTGCAGAGTAAGTAGAAATGAAGGAAATTCTTTTTACCTGAACACAATCCTACAGAAAAGCTTAAAAAATAACAAGTCTTCGCAGCACATGCCTTCCCCCGGTGCGTGTTCTGCTTCTCTGATGGGTGAGTGTTACCAGTGGCTGTCTAAATTCAACTGTAACTGACCTAAACTGAAGGTTGCTTGCTGCACTAGGGAGTCTGTGGGATAATAAATATATCAAGTGCTGATTCTCCAAGATTTTTTTGTTTGAAGGGCTGAGGATCGTTTCAGAGGTAGGTAACACCCCTTTTGATGTGTTAAGACTCTTCGTTACGTAAAACCCAGTAAATTGACAATCACTGTGTCAACACAGTCATGGTCTGCTCATATTCCACCGTCATCAGAAATCTACTCTGGGTGTTTAAAACCAGGGGTTAGCAAACTACAGCCCCCAGGCCAAATCTGGGCCACAGCCTGCTTTTGTACAGCTCAGGGATGGTTTTTAAAGAATTACTAAAATTATTAAAAAAAAACAAAGCCCTCCTCCAACACACAAAGAATAATATATAACAGACTCTGTGTGGCCCCCAGAGACAACACTGTTTATCCTCTGATCCTGTACAGAAAACCTTTGCCAACTCCTTGTTTAAACTAAAACATGTGTTAGGAAAACATTTGTTAAATCGATCGTGTGAATAGCAATTGTAAGTTATTTTTCTATATATTCTAAAGTCACTCTCTGGTAGAACACTGACTTTTGATTTTCCCCAAAGACTCTTACCTCTGTTTGCTTCTGTTGTGGGTTTTTAAACCCCCATTGGCTTTAATGCTTTACGTAAACATTTTCCGTAGCGTATAGAAGGCTCTTATTAATATTTGCTTTCTCTTTAACATTGAAATTATAGAGCTAAAGTATTCTCTCCACCAACCGCCTCTTCCTTCTGCCTGCCTTTTCTTTCCCAGTAGACTGCCGGGGAGAGTTGATATTTTAAATTGCTTTCTGCAGTAATTTGCAGTAGAACCAGCGCATCAGGCCCCCGAGTCCTTGCCAGAAAGCTTCCCCACATGTTGGCTCAACAGAATTAGCTCTGACGACTCCCTTGTTACCAGGAGCCTGCCTGGGACTAACAGGGCCTCTTGCAGGGTGCAGACCCAGGAGACCCCAGCCGCTTTGCTCCCCTCAGGCGGGTGCCCACAGTTGCGGGGTTCCTCGTGCTGCCGGACTGTTCTGATCTCCACTCTGCTCGGTGAGACGGAGTCTGGGCTCTGATGCACTGGCCCTGCACCCTGGGGCTCTGCACTGCCAGGCAGCTTCACTTCACCTTCACCTTCACATAGCCAGATTTGGGGCTGAACGGGTCTGCAGTTCCTGCCTGACAGTTCCACCGTTTTCCCTTCATGGAGCTCTGGCCCATTCCGATCCTCTGCTTGCAGTGAATACCGTCCCTTTCTGTATGCACACGTCCCAGCTTTCTTCAAGGTCTAACCCAGTGCCTCGTCATGCAGGCCTCCCTGCTCCATCCTCCTGGAAAACAACTCTCCTTCCTCCACACCCCAGAGAGCACAGGGACTCAAAGTTCTTACTTCACAGTTATTTTGCTGTGTGTTTCTGTCTGATGGCCCTTCCTAGAATGTCAACTCCGGGAGGCAGGATTGATGTCTGCGCCATAACCAGTCCCCCAATAATAGAGTGTGTGCCCTGTAAATATCATGGAAGCTTGAACAATGTGTCTGCATTTTTATTAATGTCTTCTTTTCTTTTCAGAATGAGAGAAGATAATGCTAGAGTCTATGAAAATGTGGGTCTGATGCAGCAGCAGAAAAGTTTCAGATGAGAAGACCCACCAAGACTTCAAGCACAGAAATGGGTATTTAAACGGAAGTGCTCTGTCGGTTCATTGTTTATATCATCTGTGGCGTTTTGAAGCAGGCAGATAATTTGTGAATGTTTTAGCAAAGTGGACCATAATTGAGTTTTACAAACCAGCCTCCTTTTTCTTCTGCCTGTATTTCTTTTTCCAAGCTGGATTCATTAAACATTGAAATCAGATGCAAAATTAATTCTGTGAGGGGCAGGTTTAGCACTTAATGAGAAATGGTTGCTACTGGTGATGGAGAACAGATTATCACCATTCCTGTGGTTTTGGTTAGTCACTTAACCCACGCTCTACTGAGATTTGGTCTGTAGGGACCTGGGACGTAGGCACACAGCTCTGGATGGTTGGAGTCAGGATGCCTGAGTTGCCACCCCTGTGGACCTCTGATTGGCTGGCCCTGTGGCACAGGACCCTGGACTTCCCAGGCCTCTGACTGGTCAACCCCATATCCCTTACCGCTCTTATGCTGGAAATTCACCTCCCTTGTACATCTCCTCCCTGTCAATCACCTTTTTAGACAGTGACCCAAATGTGGGACGTATCTTTAAAAGATAAATGAGAGACTCATAATTTTTAGTATTTCATGTTGAAATTCTCATTTCAATGAGTTGTGGATTTAAAAGCTTTAAATCTACTTTAGAATGGTTTAATGCTCTGCCAAACTTCTAGCTGTATGCTCCTTAAAAATTCTAACTTATTTCTTTCCCAGATATGGACTTTCACCCTCTCCCTGAAAAGATTAAGAACAGATGCAAGAAAGTTTACATGAAGAATGAATTTGAATTTGGAAGGCTTGCATTGTGGTTGACTACCTTTTGATAAGCAAAATTTGAAACCATTTAAAGACCACTGTATTCTAACTCAACAATATGTGATTTCTAATCTCATGTCCTCAAATAAGAAGAAATCTTCTCTACAATGTAGACAGTGTTATATTTTATGGAATTTTATTTTAGATTGAGGAAGCAGTTAAAATGTGTTCTCTATTTTACAGATGATGTTGATTCAAATTCTAGTTATTGGCATTTTTTTTCTTTTGATAACCTCAACAAATTTAATTTCTTCCTCCTCTTTGTGGGGAATGATAGGGCACTTGTAAGAGGAAAAATGATTTGGGATAATTAAGTAACAACGTCCTATGAAAGTGAAAACAATTTCATGTATCATCACTTATCCAGTAGTGGATAGTTTATTTTGACGGCCTCTTATTTTGGCTAAATAATAATTAAGTCAGTGCCCCAGACTGTCTACCTTTGTATTGCCATTAAAAAATCATGGGGGAAGAAAATCATGGGAACTTAGGATAAAAGACACACTTTCTTCTTAGCAGTTGACCAGTTACCATTCAGCTTGTTGACTGAGAAGTTTGTGGTGGACAAACGTTTACCATCTTTTCTTTTCATTTGAGTGACTGTCTTGTATTTAGAAAAAACAAAGGCATCGATGGATAACCAGTGTTTTGGTTATCATTTATTGCTGACAACCCAAAACTTAGTGGCTTAAAACAACAACTTGCTTTTCCCCACTGTTTTTCAGTCTGGGCTGGGCCCCGCTGAGCTGTTCCTCTCTTTGTCTTGCTGGTGTCACTCGTGGTCAGCGGGATGGCTGGACCTCTCCATCTTCAGGCGGTCCTCAGGTCTCCCCTTCTCCATGTGGCCTCACCAGCAGAGTAGCTGGACCACATTCATGGCAGCTCGGAGGTCCCAAGAGTATAAAGCAGTAGTGACCGGGCCTTCTTAAGACTTAAACCCGGAACTGTCACAGCATCGCTTCTACTGTCCCCTAATGATTAAAACCAGTCCCAGGCCCAGCCCAGACTCTAGGAAAAGGGCATGAGGGTGTGAAGTGGAGGTGAGGTTCATTGGAGACCCCCAGCCATTGAGACTGTTGGAACCAGTGTCATGGAAAAAGAGCTGAAAACAAAAAAAGTTAGCAAAAGTAGAAGCTGCTAGTGACCCTGGGAAGCTGAAGCTGGTTGTGACAGCTGGTGTAAGCTGGAAGTCAGACAGAAGCAGAGGGCCTTCAGTGAGCTTCCTGAACCAGTTCTGCTGGCTCTGAGTGTATTTTCTGAGCCATCACTTGGGGAAACTGGTCTCATCAGGATGGTTGTGTTTGGGAGGGCAGAGCATTTGAAAGCAGAACCACCCCATGGCCACGGCCCCTGCAGAGGGAGGTGAATGGGGCACTTTCTTCACGCCCCTGGTTTTGGTCGGGCCCCGCACGCAGGCTCGCAGCCGGGCTGCAGTGAGGAGGGGCAGCTCTAATGAGGCCGCTAATCAGCCAGCATTAGCAGTAGCTCATTTTTGTTTTAACCGAGCAGTAAGATTTGCTAATGTTCTACCTGAAGTGCCTTCTCCAAAGACATCCCCCTTTGCCCGGTGTGTTGAATCATCATTCAGTGACTGCATTTCAATTAAAGTATCATTGGTGGCCTTTGAAGATAATAAAATGCCACAGCAGCTCTGCCATTAAGTCATGGTCTCCTAAATCGGATTCTTCTTACTTTGTCTCCTGAAAAGGAAGGGCGAGATCCAGCCCTGTTAGTAGTTCCTTTCTGGTGTCTTTACCTCCCTTGAAACTCTGAGGTCATCTGGGGAGACTGGCTGCCATTTTCAGATAAAACGTACATTGATTTTCTGCCCACCCACCTCCCGCACCCATCTATGGAACTCAGAATTACTTCAGAACACACGTGTGGCCTGACGGTAATTACCTTATAAGAAGGATGTAAATGACTACTGTCTTATTGTCAAGCCTGTAAAGAAAGAGATTCCAGGTCAGTATTTGCAGCAAGGATCTTGAATCCTGTTACTCTTATTGCATTGCCACAGTGAATGGTTCTCATTTTGCCTCGATTTTGTGATAACGTTTGACTTCGGGTGCAAGGTCTCTCACCAGCATACAAGGGTTTGCTTGTACAATATATCTGCTGCATTAACGTCTCTGCCTGTAGCTTAAGATCAGTTGTGTTTGCCCTTGGAACGGAAACACCTGATCTAGACCAGCTTTGTTTGTAATAGGACATTGATTTCATTTGGATTTCCCTCCACGAAGTCAACAGACCATCCTGTGATACAAACTGATGCCAAGACACGGTTGTAATAGTCCCTAGGTTGCTGAGGTTTGTCGTGTGTTTGGTAAAGGTGATAGCAGGTTCTCAGATGAGATTATGCGGGATGGATTCAGGTGTGGGGAGAGGCTGTGATTGGGGCGGGTGTGCAGCTTGAGTGCGGGTGTGAAAAAAAATAGTGGAAATGAAAGTTCCAAAGAGGTGGTTTCTGAGGAAGTCAGAGGGCCTGGGGCCACAACAGTCAGTAACGGTTGAATCAGGTTACCTGGAAAACAGGTGTGATAGATGCATGTCTGCCACCTGCTTCTGGGTTGCTGGTGGACATTAAATTTGCACAATATCCCATAGCTGGCTAAGTATTTAAAAATGATAAACATAAGATTTTCTATTTGGGGTGAAGAAATTATCTGGCACATGGTATTGGATTTTTTTTTAAAGCCAAATTTCAAAGTCTTAATAGCTTTTTTTTTTTAAACAACCACCACCACCAAAAAGACACCTCATAGCCAGAGTGTGGCCCTCCTGCAGATTCTGGTCATCTCTCTCATCAAAATCAATAACTTTCCAAATGTGGCTAAATGGGGCTGCGAAAACACATGCACGACTTTCCTGGTGTTTGTGCATCCTTTACGGAGCCCAGTTGCTTTAGAACAGGCAAGAAAAAGCATCTGGATTATTTTTAGGGGTTATTAAGGGGTTGTTAAGGGTTTACTGGGATTTTTAAGAACTAATATAATATCCTGGGTTATTTCTAGTTCAGAGGAATGTGGAAAAAGATACGTATGCAATTGTGAACTGTTTTGTTGTAGCTTATTAATCCATAAGGGACACTTAGACTGTAGACATAAGTGCAAACCCAGTGTGGTTTTTGTTTTCTGTGTGTTGTTGGGGGAATGAAGTTTTGTATAGCAAGCACATGGCCTCCCCGATTTCAACATGCCTTTCTTAGGATCTGTGTTAGCCCTTAATTTCGTTGAAATCTTTTCCCCTCTTCCTCTTGAAAAATAAGTTCCAAAATATAGTTTATTGTATCTTCCATCTTTAAAACAAGTTTGTTCCTTTTTTGCTATGGGCGGTTCACACAAGGCAACAATATTAAACAGTTGGTTTTAGCGTGTTGTATAACTTTGCTGTATATCAAACTAATTTTTACAAGTTTTCATCCTAAACCTCAAATCATGTAATTAATAATTTGCCTGTTTATTTATGACCTAATTGTGATTCTTTTATTAATAAAAGCTAATGGGAAAGGATCCTTTCTTAAGCTGATGACTAGGCCTACAGTTAATTTTCCTGCAGTATATGAAGTATTGTACCAGAGTATTAAAAGATATGTAATATTTTATTGATAAATCTATCCTTTAAAAGGAATACGTTTTAGGATGTCATCATTTTGATGTGAATCATGTAAATGTTGATAATATGCACTGTTTATTATACATTTAGTGTTTCAAGAGATTCACTTAATTGCCTTTTTTGCCCACGTATATTATGTAGTCTGTTTGCAGTTGTTTTAAAAAAAAAAGTGACATTAAAAGAATAGTTTATGTAGAGAAACATTAGTGGATGTTAATTGTCTCCCCACCTGTATTTATGGGTGTTAGTTCAACTGCTTTGCTACTTGCAAAGCTGTATTATCAGAGTAAAAGTGTATTTGTAAACTGTATGGGAACTAAAACTTAGGAATAAAACCATTTTCTTATATTACGGTATTTGTCATTTACTTCATCAGAAATGTCCAGGAAAAACTGGGATTAGGGGTCCCTGAACCTCTTACACTAGAGAAGGGCTGGCATTCGGCAGCTCTTAGCTAGAAGGGAACTTGGAATATGGAATAAATGAATCAGTTCTTCAGGCATTTATTGAATGCCTACGTTGTGAATACCTTTGGGAGACGGAAAGGAAATTTTATTTGGAAGAACTTTGAGTAAGTAGCAAATAAGAAGTGTATCTGTGTAACATACAGGAAATGATTAGAAAACAGAACTGAATGTAAATAGTATTGGATGGGGATATGAAGTAAAGCTATGATAAAGGAGGCTTGTAGGAGTAAATTATATGCTGTAGGACGCCAGCTGTTCCCTTCAAGTAGATTTAGGCCTCAGTCCTCATGCAAATCAGGGCCATTTGCTTCTCCTGGCAGCACTGCACCGACACTGGCAGAAAGAAATCATTTTTATAAACAACAAAACTCATTCTCTCTGATAAATCTAAGGAGTGCTTTGTATTACTTATTTACAGTGTGAAAAGCTATTGCCCTCCTCTTGGTCTCAACTGATTTCTTAATGCATGTAAATTAGATGCAGCTGGTTTAGCTGGCTGGCCCGGCCATTTATCCATTCAGGAAATACGGAGCACCTTCGGAACGCCACGTGCTGCATCTGTGCTGGTCACAGGGGCTAGGCAGTGACTGACACAGACCTGGGGGTGATGTTCTAACGGGAACTAGGTCTTGAACACATCAGAAGGCAGTTAATTATACTTGGGATAAGCGCTACTAAAGATACAGGGTGCTAAGCAAAGCGGGAACAGCAGGAATTAGACAACCAATTCCAATGAACCAATTTGTTTTTATTTTTTAAAAATTTCCCCCCTTAGGCTTAAAGCTCTTCCGAATTTAAAAATTGGGTGTATTTTTTTGAATAGGTAGCACACTCACCTAGAACAGGGAAGTCTCCCCTCCACACCTACTCCCATGAAGTGTTTCCCACTAACCCCGAGGACCAAGAGCAACTTTGAACATAGGTCTCGCTGTAAAGGTGCTGGTTCCAAGGGTTTACACTTGTTACTTGGATGTGTGATACTGAATTGTCCCCCAGTGAGGCTGAACCTAGTTACAGCCCTCCCAGCCTCTTTCCTCACACCTTTGTCAAACTACCTTCTGACAAACTTAGACCCTTGTCTGTCTGACAGGTGAACAGTGACAGTTCAGTGTAACTATATTTGCATCTCTCTTAAAAAGGGAGGCTGAACATCTTTTCAGATGCCTTGTAAATGCCTTTCCGTGAAGTCTTTATGTCGTTTGACTGTTTTTCCCCTAGCGCATTCTGGATCTGTCTTGTTTTGAGTTTAGGAATAGAGATACTTAATTCTCGATGACTGGCTGACTTGACTGGAATTATGAGTCATCAGGATCAATGTCCAGAAAACGCTCCTGAGGTGCTCGCGGGGTGCGCCTGTCTGTGCGCGGTGGCTGTGGCCGCGCTGTGACGGGCGTTCTCGGTGGACGTGCGCGCAGCAGCCGGGGAGCGCGTTCTCGGCGTCGCTCTGTGCCAGCCCAGACTGCGAAACCAGTCTTAATTATCCAGGCCAGTGAGTTGAGAATGCCTTCAGATTTTCATTCAGATTCAAAAACTCCAAAGAATCTGCATGCACGCATCTGTTCAGCCACTTTTTAATGAGTCCAGTGAGCCACTGCTATGAGGAACACAAAACAAGTATCTGTCTTAATCCCTGTCTTAAAGGACTTTATGGCCCATTTAGGCAAAGGAGACACTTAGGCGGAATACAAGATGGAAAATGAAACAGCTCTGGATGACGCCTGGATCATGACTAAAAAGTAGAAGGAAATGATGATAATACGCTTCATTTACTAAATGACAGTTGCATGCCAAATACCAGGAGAGGCTGTGAACAGGCGATTTTGAAACCTGTGAGGCAGGTCCCCTCCCGTCTTTTGCTCGCCGCCATACACCCCATGCCGAGTGTGGTGCCCCAGGAACTCAGCAGTTGTAGGACCAATGGCTGATCTCCATTTTACTGATGAGTAAACTGAGATTCAGGCACACGAACTGACTTAGGAGAGGCCCCACTCACCTAGTACGTGGGGAGCTAGGATTTGAGGCCAGCTGAGGCTGTCTGCTGCCTCCTTTTCACCACACTGACCCCTGAGGAGTCCCAGGGAGAGTGACGGCTTCACACTTGCTGTGGGGTGGGAGGATGGGGAGAGTGGGGGATCTGGGGGGGTGGGCAGGCAGGCAGAGCCACAGGGCAGAAGAGCACAAGCTTTAGGGGGTGATCACCTTAGCTGGAGCCCGTACCTGAAGGCAGGAGTGGGAGATGTGACTGAAAAGGCATGCAGGGCTGTGATCAAGGAGGGTGGCCTTGTAACAGCTTTATTGAGATATAGTTCACCTTCCATTCCATACAATTTGCCACTGTAAACTATACCGTTCAGTAGTTTTTAGGCTATCACAGGTACGTACAACCAGCTCCACAGTCAGGTTTAGAACGTTTCCATCACCCCAAAAGAAACCCTGTTCCCTTCAGCCATTACTTCCCAGCCCCTCCCCAGCCCTCCTATTCCTAAGCAAAAACGAAAAACCTTTTTAATAAACATTTTGTGTTTAAATCATAAGACTTCAGGGAGCCCTTGCCCCATCTGTCTTAGGTCAAAGTCTGGAGAGAAGTGGGGCCTCTGATGAGGACTCCTGGGTGAGTGATCTGCAGAAGGAAGGTCCTGGAGAAGGGGAGTGGTGAGGGGGGCAGGAGAGAGCAGGGGAGAAGCAGCTTTGGTCTCAGGTGGAGGCAGCACCACCCTGACCCCCTGGGGCCAGCTGTGAGCCATCACCCCCAGTGCCAGGAGATGGCTGCACCAGCTACTTTAAGATCTGGGCGGACATTCTCGGTGTCTCCTCCACTAGCACAGGACATGGTATGGCCACCACCCTGTGAGGCCAGAAACCCAGGGATCTTCCCTGACCCCTCCCCAGCAGCCAGTTCCATCTATTCTCCTAAAGCATAGATCCCGACCTAGTAGGTCGCGTCTCCCTAGCTCTGCTACTGCCACCGTAGTCCAGCCACTGCTGTTTCTGAAGGTCAGGGAGACCGGGCAGCAGTGTTCCCGGAAACAGGTAAGATCTGAAGTGGCCTCCATTTCTGCTTATGCTCCGCTACTGCCTTTCTCCACACACAGCTATCTCATAAACACACATGCTGGATTCCCCTGCCGGGAATGGCTTCCCATCACACCCAGAATAAAGTCCAAGTGCCTTACCGGGATTTCAGAGTGGACAGAACTTCACTGTGTGGGACTCTTCGGCATATCTGAGGATATTTTGCATTGCTGGCCCCCATCCAGTAAATGTCAGTGTTCCCATAGTCACTATGACAATAAGCTCGCCTCAAGCATTACCAGGTTTCCCTGGAGGGAGTTAGCATTCCCTTGGTTGAGATGCTCTGGCCTCTGTCCATGTCTCTATGCTGACCAAGCAGTGATACATTCACATCATATATCAAACACTTTTCCAGACTCTGTTCTCTTCATTTCTCACTTCCCTTCATTCACATTGGCCCCTTTCTAGTCCTCAAATGTCCCAAGCCGATTCCTGCCGCAGGATATTTGCACATGCTGATCCTCTTTCCTGAAATGCTCTCCCTCTAGATCTTCACATGGCTGACTTGTTGTCATTTATGTTTCAGTTCAAATTTCATCTTCCCAAAGATACCCTTCTGGACCACTCTAAGCAAAGTGGATACCTCCCGGGTCACTCTCTATCATGTCACTCTGTCTTGTGTCCTTCCCAGCACACTTCACTATCTGAAATTATTCTGCTCTTTATTTTTTGGTCAATTGTCTGTCTTCTCCACTGAAATATCAGCTCCCAGAGGACAGAGACTTCTTTGCTGTATCCC